TGTGTGCAGATCTGGTCACCCCATCTAAAAAAAGACATATTAAAATTGGAAAAGGTACAGAGAAGGGTAATAAAATGATCAGGGGTATGGAATATCTTTCATATGAGGAGAGATTAAAAAGACTGGAACTATTCATCTTAGAAAACAGATAACTCAGGGGGATATGATAGAGGTCTATAAAATTATTAATCGTATGGAGAAAGTGAATAGGGAAGTGTTATTTACCCCTTCACATAAAACAAGAACTAAGAGTCACCTAATGAAATTAATAGTCAGCAGGTTTAAAAGAAACAATAGGAAGTATTTCTTCACACAAGTCACAATCAACCTGTGGAACTCATTGCCACGAGATGTTGTGAAGGCCAAAAATATAACTGGGTTCCAAAAAAAATTATATAAGTTACTGGAGGATAAGACTATCATTAGCTATTAGCCAAGGTGATCAGGAATGAAACCCCGTGCTCTGGGTGAGCCTCCAACTGCCAGAAGCTGGGCCTGGAAGACAGGGAATGGATCACTCAAAATTGCCCCATTCTGTTCATCCCCTCTGAAGCTGGCCACTGTTGTAAGACAGGATATTTGGCTAGATGGACCATTGGTCTGACCCAGTATGGCCATTCTTATGTTCTTATATGACACTTTCATCAGCATGGCCAAACCTGGTAAGCAGTTCATGAGCATTTATTCCTGACATCCACTTATACAAAAGGAGAGAGACAGAGAGAGGGATGAAGAAGATAGGACAGTAAACAGGATAATTCTGAGAATGTTCAAGATGAGGGACAAGGGGAATAATTCTCTGATTATATAAAAATCACAGCAGCATGTATCATTTTGGAGATTTCAGGAGGAAAAATTCACAAGGAATTTTTAAAGAGATTTTCACTAATTTTGCCATGCCCTAGTTATGAATAAAATTGCTATAATTTTATAATGAGATTATGGGAAATCACCAGTTAGCAGTGTGTTAAAACCTGCACAGACGATGGCCTACTGATGATCTCTGATCCGAAATCCTATATGACCAGAGTTGCGCAAGAGTCACAGGATTGAAAGTGATTTATATGAAACGCAAAGCAGTGGACCCTGGATTAGTCCTTAAATTCTAGAGACAGACACCCACATACAAATTTTAGATGCTGATAGGTGTAGCTAGTACAACTCACTCATCATTTAAAGAGACTCTTTCATTGTATGCTTATTCATAAATGCCTTAAAAATCTAATTAATTGGCAAAATCTCCCTAAATTATTCCTTAGATGAAATGCAGCAATAAAAATGAATCAGATATCAAAAATTTGCTTTCTGTTCTTAACTCTGTTGATGGAGATCACTACAAAATACTAGAGGTGATGCCACTAGTACACATTTTATCTGAAGCAATAATAAGTACCTAGGGTCACTCAGATAACACTGCAGAGAGGAGGCCTGGTATCAGAGGGAGGCCTGGCAGCTAAAAACTCAGTGAGTAGTTCTGGTGGCCGCAGTATGTTCACTAATAATTTTATATCCTCGGGATCTATGAACATTGGACAAGTATTGAACAGAGTCAACTTTCAGACACTCTCAAAGGTGCATTAATACTTCAAAGGGACAGCAGAGACTCTGCTCGAAGGGTTGTCATCTGTTTGAAATTTACATTCAAAACGTGTGAGTTTGTCAGTCATAAAGCTAGCCTGGCCCCTTCTCCTTTTAACTCCCAGGAGAGGAAAAAATCCCCCTTGTGGAAATTCAGAAGGTATTTTTGTAAATGACTGAATAGCCTTATGCAAATATTTATAATGGAAAAATAGATTAGGACACTCCTATACAACAACTTCCAATTGGTGCCAATTCCAAGGTTCACTGTATTTCAGCTGAAGCATCACACTTACCCTCTAAGATGAGGAATGATTTAAGAGGCTTACTGGGACTGATACCTGTTTTCCAAGTCTCAGGTTCCAAGGCTAATTGTTTGAGAGGCTTTGAAATAAATCTGAAGACACGTGAAGTACATAATCTCTAACCCATACATAGAAGTCATAAAATGAGAAATGGAACAAAAGAGAGGGGGGTATGAAAAGATGGAAATAATCTATGGAGGGGAAAAAAACACCTCAAACAGTGGCCAAAACTCTGGCAAAAGTCAGCAATATCTTTATCTGTCTGATGACAAAGAGATAAAAGGCAAAGGGATGGAACAGTGGTCACTCACCCCTTGCTGCTTCTTAATACTCTACACACGTAACACTTCTGCATATTGGAAAGCTCATAAGGACAAGGAGCCTTCACTTACATCTGGGAGGAAAACCCTCAGGTACAAAACAGTTGGCTCCAAATCTCAGGATTTACATTCAAGAGGGCTGATCCCCTTCTACAATACCAGTGTAACTCCATTGACTTCAATGGAATTACTCTTGATTTACACTGGTGTGGGAGAGCAAGCAGAATCCAGCTTACTGGTTCCCACTTGTTTACAATCTCTTGTGGTGGTTCTAGCCGTTTTGGTGAGGGGTAGCAAGCCAATAAAGATGCAGAACTGAATACACCCCTCTAAGTCTCACATAAACGTTCTCTGCAGAAAACCGGAAAAAGAAAGAATCCACAGATGCTGTTGCTCGGTTTTGAAGCGTGTGGGACACTTTAATAATGGAGTAATTAATGAAGATAAGAAAATGGGTACAAGTGAGTCATTTAAATTTTATGAAGTTTGACCTCCATTCTTGGAATATGGAAAAAATGATGACAAAAACACTACACTGTCAAATTAAGGTAAATCCTTTATAATACCAGAAAGCATTTTTGTCCTTATTAGTGGAAATTTGTACATATATCATTTCTCTAGACAGTTATTCCAATTTTCTTTCACTATACACTCAGTTTGTGTGTCCACTTCTCCCTTTGTGTGGTTTGTGCTCCATCCATTTTTGAAAATTAAAATATAATGAAAAAAAATATGAGCCCACCTAGCAATGGCTACAATTTTACAATGGAATATTATTGTAGTAGATCAATAACTTAGCTTGTGTACCCAAAGTTAATTGAGTATCCCTGTATTTGGAAGTATTTTTATGTGACTTTCTCTTTGGGTAGTTCTGCATACTTCAGATATTTACTTGTACTGGAAGTGATAACAACACACGGTTGTGAATGAACACTGTTGTGGTTTGAATTAAACTAAATCTGTCCATGTTAATAATGAACAGACATAGAGCCCCCTCTGGTCCATTCCAAAAACATAGTTGCTTCCTTTCTTGTTCTTGTCACATCCACCCAACCCATTCTTCAATGGCTTTCACTTCCCTATCACATCAAATTCAAGTTTCATGTTCTTGGCTTCAAGACTTTACACTATTCTGTCACCACTTCATCATTCATCCACTCCTGTTAGCTCCTCCCTCATCCCCCCTCTGCCTCACTGCCAATGCCAGCTCCAACTGTTCATAGTTTCTACTTCTTCCAGAAGCACCTTTGCACTTTCTTCTTTCTGGAAGGAATGCTCTCCCCAAACTGGGCTCTAAAGTTACTACCCAGACTTCCTTCAAATCCCTCTTTAAAGTCCAGTTCTACTGTGGAGCCTGCAGAAAACTGCCAGCTGATAGTGTCCTGGTAGATGGTCAGTGGGGTTTGCTGATACATAGTTTCATTAATTTTTTGTAAATTTTTAATATAAATTAAATTAAATAACTATCCACATAGAGCTTCAGTTGGCTCCATGTTGAGGGGACCCCTGTGCCCATGTAGAGCCAGCTTCTGGATCAGGACCATTGTTAGCCTAAACAAGCATATGATCTTATCATTGTTATCCTGCTTATGCTGATGCTCAGTGCTGAGCACCCTGGATAGGTGGACCAGTGTGCAACCCACCACCGTCCAGTGCACGGTCTTTTGGGAAGTTTTATCAATGCACAGTGGGGCAGAAATGAGTCGCATAGAGGTGACTAGGAGCAAGGGGTCAGCTTCACAGCATGCAATGGCCTCCATCTCATAATGTCATCTATAGAACATATTTTTGGTACCATCTCCAGAAGCATGGAGCCTGCACAGTTTGGTGCTATTGTCATAAGGGTTGCAAGCACAACATGCACAATCCTCCAGTATTTGCAGAACTCCAAGAAGAACTGAATCAGTGAGGAATATGACAATTTCATGGAGGACAAATTGCTGTGGGAGATAGTGAGAACCAATTCAAGGTTGTTGGTGACATTCACAGAGTAGCTGCAGATGGTGAAGCACCACTTCCGGGCCCAAGAAACATGCAATTACTGGTGGGCTCCTGTCAAGGCTGAATCCCCACTCTCTCACTCCAAGTGCAGAAGATGGGGGCCCACCAGGATTGTCAAAATTAATACTTGCCACTCCAGGCTTGAATTAAACTCCCAAGGTTACAGCTTTTCTCTGACCTTGGTAAACATTGGCCACCCAAATGCAAAAAAAAAAAAAAACCTTGGACCCAGGAAGGAGCACTTGGGAATTCTTCCCTGTGGGATACCTTCAAGCCCTTTCACCCCCACTCTGGGGAAGAGCTGAGAAAGAAAACAAAGGAAATTAGCTATTGCCACCAGCTAATCAAACAGCATATGCACAAACCTCTTAGGACATCAAAAATCCAATCCTGTTTTTAAAAAAGGTAAATGTTATTTAAAAAAGGGGGGGGGGGAAATACATTTGGAACTTAGGCTTTTGCTAGATTTTAAAAGAGCAATTCCAAAAATTAAGCACCCAAAATAGCTTCTTGGGGGTTCAGCTTAAAGGTTACAAGCAAACAACAGCATCTGGGGTTAGCACAGAGGAGATCCACAAGCCAAAATAAAAAAATAAACCTGATTGCATTTATCTAAACATTCCCTGTCCAAATGATTCCTTCTAGGTATGGAAGTGGGGCCAGGCCACGACACAGAAGAGTTGGGGCTGGGAGGGCATGGGGCTGGGGCCTCATGCCCCAGCTGCAGCAGGTTGGGGCCCAGGGAAGGTGGGGAGCGGGGGAGAGGCACCAGCAGGTCCCTGGACAGGTTCCTTGAGCGCGTGCACGGCCCTAAATAGGCTGCTGAGCAGCTGCGCGGCTTACAGGAAACGTAGGCAAAGAGGGAAACTATCATGCTGAGATTTCATAACAGAAATAAAGGTAAGTTCTGTCATTAGCTTAAATTCTCTAAAATCTGCATCAACTCTCAACCTTGAGGAGAATCTTGCAGAAAGTGGGGCTATTGTTTTGAATTCTATGTCACAGTAACATAACTTGCACGGTTCAGAACCAGCAGTGTGCTTGGAGTCTGCACACAGCAGATGAGGATGCGGTTGAAGTCTATAATAATGCTAACATTTTACTTTCCAGAAGGGATATGACCTTGATGACTAATGTAAAAACCTGCGTCACTGCAGCTCAGTAAGAAATACACCATGTAAACAGAGAGGTCTTTGTAAAAACAGCGTAAGAATGATACAGTAGATCAAAACACAGACTGGAGAGCTGCGTAATTGTAACACTAATTATGACCTACATAGTTTCAGTTTGTTTCAATTAACTTTTACTGCTCAAAAGAGATGATTTATTGTAGAATTACCATCTGCCGTAGATAATGTATGTGCAGTGCATGTTATAAAAGTGAAGAAATGAGAACAATTAAGAGAACAAAACTGGATGCAAAGCTTAAAAGAAAATAAACTCTTCCACTGAAAAGAAACAAAGAGTTCTTTGAAAGAGAGCAGGCACAGAATCCCTATAGCCACTCTCTGGAATATGGCCAAATGTGTACACATTGTAAAGACTGAGAGACTCATGGATTGGTAAAACAGTCCAGAGTTCTCATCTTTATTTTATCTATTCAAAGCTGGCCAGGTCAGTAGCGACTGCAAGTCATTGCCATCTGATAACTGTTTAGCATCCAGTGTAAAGTAAATCTGTGATGCTAGTCCATTGCCACATCAATAAAATCTTCCATTGCAATGTGCACTTAGTGACAGTCTCAGCAGAGAGGCCAATATTGGAATGGACATGGAGCCTGAACTAATCTCTTGTTTCTAGAAGTGGTTCCTCCAGAGCAGGGTTTAAGGCACATTGGATGGGCACTGGGGACACTTGTACTGACAGCATCCATACTGTACCTGTTCTGTGTGCAGAGAAAACATCAATAGCCACAGCAAGCTGACAGCTTTTACAAGCAAGACGCGTTACTTTACCTATTTTTTTTTTTAAGAAAAGGGTCTAAAAAAATTTTTACCAGTTGAACAACGTTAATAAAATTTCTCAGAATTGACCTATTTAAACAACTGACAGGAAACAATTCAAAACTACTAAAACAAGCCTGACAATCTACAGTGGAGAAAACGACAGAGAAAAAGGCACATGCTCCTGTGTAATCAAATAGATTTACTGCAACAGAGTCAGCCAGTATTATAACTAAATAAAGACCATAAAAGGTGTTGGCACCTCGCACAATGGGGTCCAAAAAGACTGGTGTTGGCAGTGGTACAGAAAAATGCTGACCTACAATGATACCTTTAATGGGACATTTAGGAAATGAATATTTTTAAGCATGTACAGCATCTCGCACAATGGGGTCCTGCTCCATGGCTGGGGCTCCTAGGTGCTTCTGCAGTACAATTAATAATGCTATAGACTGTCATAATTACTAGTGTTCACCACTTTTACAAGACTATGATACATTTTGTATAAATTATGCCTTGTGAGGTATCATTTGAAATGGGGGGAGGCACAAGCCTCTTCCTGGTGGGGGGAGGGGCTGAGGTGGGGAAAATTGGGGGAGCTGTGCCCCCCTTGCTATGAGACCCCAGGCCCTCCAGGCCAGGTCAGAGGCCGGAAGCCAGAGCTGGGCAGTGCAGGGCGCTGGTTGCTCACAGCCAGTACGAACTGCCTCAGCAAGGGACCTGGTTCTGGGGCCAGCAGAACCCTCAGGGAGCAGCAACTGTGGGGGGCAGGGCCCAGGAGCCCGGGCTGAAGCAGGTCAGTCTGGGCCACTGTGGGGAGTCCCGGACCCGCCATCTGCCCTGGAGGGCAGCGACATGGGCCAAGAGCTGCTCTTAGATACCCCGGCTCCCTGCCTGGGCTTACTTCTTTGCTACTGCTACAGCTGGGTGGACAGCCAGCAGCCACTGCTGCTCTCTCTATTCCGCCTTTAGAATTGAGAGGCTGGAGAGTGGCAGCTCCTATGGTCTGGCTATGGGGGGAAAATTTTGGATTAGCTATAGCTCCAACAAGCCCCCTCCCAGCACCACCCCAGATTTGAAAACTCATAATATGCGGAACATTATTGTCCTGATAAAATACGTGTATCAACACTGCATGTAAAGTTATAAGTTTCTACTGTATAACATCATTGTAATCCAGAGTTAGAAAGGCAGGCCCAAACCAGTCTTCCAAGACAAAGACACACTGGCACCTCCAGACAGATTTCAACAAAGTCAAGTGGGCTATCACCGAGTTAAGTGACCATTTTCTGGCAGGGGGAAGATGTGAACAAGAAATTTACATTTAATCACAAGGACAGTTCAAACCTCACATCCACAAGAAGGTGTTTGTCACCATGGCTCAGCAATGATGTTTCTAGCACAAGGAATTGAATTATAAAGAAGGGAGAAAAATGCTTGACCTCACTTTCCTCCTTCATCTCTGCTCATGACATCAACGACTCTTAAAGAACTAAACTTGGGCGGGGGGGGGAGGGAGGAGTCCTGGCTGAAGCAGGCCAATACAGACTGCTGTAAGCTTATGGTGAGAGCAACCTTTTTGCTTTTAAGTTCACTTAGCTTGTTAAGTTAGGCGTTTAGCTTGCATGTTATCTTTTTATTTCTTTTGTAACCAATCCTGACCTTTATACCTCATTACTTGTAGTCACTTAAAATCTCTCTTTTCTTTCTATAGTTAATAACTTTGTTTCACCATTTTATCTAACCAGTGTGTATGGATTAACGTGTGCGGGAAACTCTATTTGGGATAACAAAGCTGGTGCATATCATTTTCCTTTGACAAAATGATGGATTTTATATGCACTTGCATTGTTCAGCAAGGTGCTGGGCAATACAAGATGCACATTTCTGGGCAAAATTCTGGGCCTAGAGAATCTGCTGGTGTTTTTCTGCAGTGTAATTAGTGAGTGGCTAGCTAGTAGCACTCAATACCGTGCAGCTAGGAGTAAGTTACATGCTGGAGGCTGTGTGTTAACTGGCCAGGAGTGGCTGTTCACCAGTACAGAAGTGTAAAAGGCATCCCAGGCTGGAGAACTGAGGAGGCACAGTAATTCAGCAGTCCAGATTATACCTGGGTAATGTCACAACAATAATAAATAATAAATGACAAAAATTTCATCCACAAAGAAACATATAGTACATGTGCTCATCTGAAGTTAGTCAATTAAAAATGGAACTTGGCTCTATGGAAAAGTTAGATATACTGACCATTCTGGCTACACGATGCAGATGCGCTCCTGCCTGGAGTACACAGGAGGTGTTGGATCTCTTGGGTAAGTGGGGAGAAGAGGCTGTGCAGGCACCAGCTCCGATCCAGCCATAGAAATGTTTATACCCATGAGCACATTGCTCAGAGCATGGGGGAGAAGGGCTGCAAGAGGGATGTGCAGCAGTGCCATGTGACAGTCAAGGAGCTGTGGCAGGCATACCAGAAGGCAAAGGAGGCCAACAGTCACTCTGGTGCAGAGCCTCAGACATGCCACTTTTACAAAGAGTCGTATGCCATCCTCAGTGGAGACCCCATGACTACCCCCCAGAGCCCTGTGGATACTTCAGAGAAGTCAGAGTCAGAGGCTCCTGGAGTGAACAGTGAGGAGGTGTTGGAGTAGGAGGCGTATGTGGAGAACAGTGCCAGTATTCAGTTCAATTACCCTAGACACAAATACTCATGCCCATGCCCCCCCATTATTGTCCCAACTCACCCCCTCTTCCCTGGGCCAGAATCATGACGGCTGGGACTGCTGCCATGCTCTATGAATCCCAAGGAGGAGTGAGAATGTAGTGCTTGCAACTTGCGTGGATCAAGGGGAGCGAGTTCAGTATACCAAGTTTCCATTTATCTTGTGAATACGCTCACAATAGTACCTCTGTATCTTTTGCAGCTGGAAATCTGGCCTGGAGGGTCTCTCCATCCACACCAGTAGGAGGAGAAGGAAGAGGACATGGGATCCCACCAGGGAAGCTGATAAGGAACTGGGTGTCCCAGGGAGCTGGGCAGGCTGTCAGGAAACCAGGTGTGTAGGTGGACTGGCCAGCTAGCTAGCCTGCCTGCCTCATGTCCAATACATTCATAGAGAATATTTTCAGTTCTGTCACATCAGCATATTCCTGTGGAAAACTCTTGCATGACAAAAATTTTTACCACTTTAGCTGCTGTTGGGGGCAGTTAAGTTATTCTCTGTGGTAGACAGTCAAGTACTATCCCTTACCCTACAGGCACATCTGATCTTCGTGTACTTCTGAGCATGCTTCACATGGGAAAACAGGAGACAGTCATTACCAGACTTGCTCTATACTAGAGATAATTACTGCATTCAGCAGTGCAGAGCTGTAAATGCTCAAATATAATTATGCCTTCAGCAATCTCTCTCTCAAGGGAATTCTTTGCATAGCGTTATATTTATGCTGTTGTGCAACATGTCAAAATTGTATATTAATTGATAAGAAATAAGGTTTGTTTGTTGGCTACCTGATGACAATGTATATTCCTCACACATATCGGTATCATCAAGGTTTCTTAAAGCTGTTACTAAAGACTTAGGCCTTGATCCTGAAAGCATGTAAGCATGTGTTTAACTTTATTCATGAGAGTAGTCCCATTGACATCAAAGGGACCAAATTCGAGCTTGTCTGAGGCAGTGGAGCGATGCTGGGCAAGCAGAGATTTCCTAAGCCTTTCTGCCTTCACAGGTGGAATTGTTCAGCTGGCATCAGGGGGCTGCAGCACTATTTACTGCTAGTCCTAAAAACAGCAGCATGGGTAACCAAGCATATTATGGAGGTAGAAGAGGCTCAGCTATGTTTCCTCAATTCAACTGGCCATGCCACCATGGAGTCAAGGAGCACTGTAGACCATGTTAGATATAAGCCTTGCCTACCATTCAGTGGAGTACCATTTTGCTTGAGATTTGTGCCCTTTTCACCTTTGCCCAGCATTGCACCTGCCCAGCTGCAGCCAGAAAATAGCTTCAATTCGACAGAACAGGCATGAGAGAACCTTACTGATACTAAGAAATCTATCATTAAAAATGTTTTGCATTCTTTGTTAAATTTTTACATTGTGAAATTCCTTAACACTAGTATTTAGTTTAACAATAGAAATAGGATGTCTACTGCAAGGGTAAAGCTTGTTTTGCCAGAAGACACAGCTTTCTAGAGGGCCAGTTGCAAAGTTTGGAATGAACAGCCTCAGGATCTAAAAAACTCCTCAAATCTCACTACCTTCTGTTCCAAGGTCATAGTGTGCTTCTTCAGCCTGCCTTCAATAACAAAACACATGGCACAGCAGTCATCAAATAACAATTGACAAGAAAATACAACATCTTTTAAATCCACACACAGGTACAAGGAGAGAAAGAAGGAAAGACTCACAAATGACAGCCGCTCATCACATTACTAAATGCAATTCTGGAAGGCACTTAGATAACAAATACACTTCTTGTCTTTTTTAGAACTGGAAGGAACCTCAAGAGGTCATCTAATCCAGCTCCACCTTGCTGAGGCAAGACAATGTATACACTAGATGATTCCTGACACGTGTTTATCCAACCGGTTCTTAAAATCCTCCAAAGATGGGGATTCCGCAACCTCCCTTCGCAAGCTATTCCAGTACTTACCTATTAATATAGTTAGAACGATTTTCCTAATATCTAACCTAAAGCTCCCTTGCTGCAGGTTACGCCCATTACTTCTTGTCCTACCTTCAGTGGACATGGAGAACAATTTATCACCATCCTCTTTATAACAACCTTTTTATATATGTGAAGACTTTTCATGTCTCCCTGCTCTTCTCGAAACTAAACGTGCCCAGTTCTTTCAACCTTTCCTCTTAGGTCATGTTTCTGAACCTCTTATCATTTTTGTTGTTCTCCTCCAGATTCTCTCCACATCTTTGTTCACATCTTTCTGAAAGACACTGTACTCCATCTGAGGCCTCACCAGTGCTGAGCAGAGTGGGACAATTACCGCCCGTGTCTTACATATGACACTCCTTTTAATATATCCCAGAATGACATTTCCTTTTTTGCCTCAGAATCACATTGTTGACTCATATTCAATTTCTGATCCACTATAACCCCCAGATCTCTTTCTTTAGTACTGCTGTCTAGCCAGTTATTCCCATTTTTTATTTGTGCATTTGATTTTTTTCCTTCCAAAGTATAGTAATTTATACTTATCTTTATTGAATTTAATCTTTATTGATTTCAGACCAATTCTCCAATTTATCAAGATCATTTTTAATTTTAATCCAGTCCTCCAAAGTGCTTGCAACCCCTCCCAGTTTAGTGTCATTTGCAAATTTTATAAGCATACTCTCTATTCCATCATGGAAGTCACCAGTGAAAATACTGAATAGTATTGGATCCAGGACAGACTCCTACGTGACTGCACTTGATATGTCCCCCCAATTTGAGATAACTATGGATAACTACTCTTTGAGTACAGACTTTCAATCATTTGTGCACCCATCTTATAGTAATTTCATCTAGACCATATGTCCCTACTTTGCTTATCAGAATGTCTTGTGAGAGTGTGTCAAAAGCCTTACTAAAGTCCAGATATATCACATCTACTGCTCCCGCCTCCCTGTCCACTAGGTCAGTAACCCCATCAAAGAAAGAAATTGGATTGGTTTGTCCTCCTAGCACCAAAAACACCTTCCATCCCAGTTTGATCAGGAGACTCTATTCTTCATGTGATGACCCTGTGTCCCAAGAACCTGCTTTGGAATGCCTGAAATGTCCCTTTTTAATTTCATCAGTTAAAGCATTCAGGGTTCTATAATTACAAAATGTTTGTTCAAACATGTTCCTATATTGATCACAAATGGGCATCCCTGTGTCATTCACATCATAGAGAATATGAGAAAGCTCAGACAAAGAACTCTTTCGTCATAGTGATAGCTGGAAAAAGAGGCTGAGAATATTGAATAAGGAAACTGTCTTCTGATTCCTGCTGTATTCACGAAACAAGACTTTATGTACATTCTTTGTAAATAAACAAGATTGCATCAAAAAAAAATCTGACTTCCTCATCAATTTGTTTCTGTCAAAAAGATAACCTGCAAGATCCTGAATGTTGGCTAACCGCTCCTCACCTCTCACACTTACCTACGTCTCCTTTCTTGCTGCCCCCATGGTTCCCATTTCTAATCGCATCCATTATGCTTCCTCTCTCTCCTACCTTAAACCTTCTTTCCCCAAATCCATTTCTTCAAGGAGGCTTATTAACTACAGATAAAAGGCCAGAGAAGGGTTTGGAGTTTTATGTTGCTACCTTCCAGACATTTGCATTCACCTCCTGTCTTCTCTCTATTTCCCAGTTCGTGTGGTTGCTTCCTTGGGTCTGTTGTTGTCTTAACTTAGGCCTGGCCTGCACACCAAGTTGTTTAACTAAACCTGTTATATTATACTGATTTAGTTAAACCAGTGGAATTTTTTATGTGGACACTCTTAAATCAATCTAAACCGGCATTTTATTGGTTTTGTTTGCATCAGTAAATGTACAGGCACAAGCCAAACTGATATAACCAGTTTTAAACCAATATAAGAGTCCTCATAAGGGTTTGCAATTAGTTTTTTAACCAACTGAAGTTAAACTGGAGCAACTTGTGTGTAGACAAGCCCTCAGACTAAATTCTTCAGGACAGGGAGTCAGTCTTTATCTGCATTGCACCACATACGTAATCCATTCATAATGCTAAATTTTCAGATACTGTATATTCTGGTTAATTTCTATAGGAAATTCTAATTTGAATCTTGCCCACTTTGAATTTCTTCTCATTTGAAAAGGATGCAACAAAGACTACAGGGCAGATCTGAAAACAGACATCTCAGAGTTAATTGGGGATTCTATTTGCATGTTGTCAATTACAGGGAGGTCATCATCATTTATTATACCGGGAATAATGAATGGAAATAGCTTTTCTGAGTAGCAGATTGCTTTATGTCTTACACTATGCTATTGTCTTATTGACATCATGATGTCAATCATACCAATAAGGAACCTCTCCAGTCTACTTCACATATTGCAACACCAGAAATAGATTATACTGCATATCTTTTTTCACTTTCATTTTAATGATTTTGTTGAATGGGCTTGACTTTATCAAAGTATTTCTGACAGCTAAAATGAATGTTCCCAGCAAATGAATGCTATCATTAAAGTAGATGAGCTGTGGCGAGTAGAACAGAAGATGAGCTGATTATATTCACAAAAAGAACAGGAGTATTTGTGGCACCTTAGAGACTAACACATTTATTTGAGCATAAGCTATCATGAGCTACAGCTTGAGCTTGAATTAATATGCAAACTAGATACCATAAACTTGGGTTTGTATAGAGACTGGGAGTGGCTGGGTCATTACACATATTGAATCTATTTCCCCATGTTAAATATCCTCACACCTTCTTGTCAACTGTCTAAATGATCTATCTTGATTATCACTACACAAGTTTTTTTCTCCTGCTGATAATAGCTCATCTTAACTAATTAGCCTCTCACAGTTTGTATGGTAACTTCCAACTTGTCTGTGTGTATATATATGTGTGTGTGTGTGTTCCATTCTATGCATCCGATGAAATGGGCTGTAGCCCATGAAAGCTTATGCTCTAATAAATTTGTTAGTCTGTATTCAACTAAAGGTTAATCATTTGTGTCTTACCCACATTCGAATTTACAGCTGTGTTAGTTAACACACAGAATCACAGAAATATAGGGCTGGAAGGCATCTCAAAGGTTATCTAGTCCATTCCCCCACCCCTCCCTGTGCTGAGGCAGGACCAAGTATACCTAAATCATCCCTGACTGGTGTCTGTCTAAATTGCTCTTAAAAATCTCCAACGATGGGGATTCCAAAACCTTGCTTGGAAGCCTATTCCAGAGCTCAACTACCCTTAAGGTTTGAAAGGGTTTTTCCTAATATTTAACCTAAATCTCCCTTGCTACAGATCAATCGGATTATTTTTTGTCCTACCCTCAGTGAATATGCAGAAAAGTTAGTTATCACCCTCTAGGTTTATTTGGTCCCACCTCAGCACAAGGGGCTGGACTTAATGACTTCTCAAGGTTACTTCCAGCCCTACATTTCTGATTCTATAACAGCCCTTAACATATATGAAGTAGAGCTCTTGGGTTACCTGAGAGGGAAAACTGAGGCAGACTCACTTGTCATGCCACAAGAGGGCGTGCCAGGAGAGGGTGCCTCATGACACACTCTTTGTGCTTTAGCCTTTCTGATTTTGTCCCTATGTGCTTGTGCTATTCTTTGTATTCCTCCTTAGCATTTGTCCATGTTGCCATTTTTTTGTAAGATTCCTCTTTTATTTTCAGGTCATTATAGAGCTTTTGATGCAGCCACACTGGCTTCTGACTAGTCTTCCTGTCTATCCTTTACACTGGGATAGTTTTCTGTTATGCCGTAAATACTGTCTCTTTGAAAAAGACTGCCAGCTTTCTTGGACTCCTTTATCCCTTAGATTTTCTTCCCATGTTAGAACATGATTAAAGATTCTAATATAGACAAGCCCTAAGTGGCCACAGTTTCCATTGTATATCCTTTCCTCCAGCAGCACAATGTCTCCAACAACTACTGGAGCACTGGCTTGCCAGAGCATCAGGACAAAGGATTCTGACTGCAGCAATCTTTTTGAAGCACTAAACTGTTCCTTGGGGGACTCCTATGGCAGTGCTACCCCAGCCTATCCCAGCTTGGCTTGGGAGAACTGATGTGAACACAGCTTAAAGGGTGCCACAACTGCATTCATGTTATTCAGAGCTCCTCTAGCATATAGTATACACAGTGGGTCTCACACTTTTCCCTACTGAGAACCCATCTTTTATTAGAAGAGTTTCAGAATTCTCCTAACCACAAGAAAGGGAGATTGCTCATTAGCCCCAGAGTAAGAACCCACTCTCTATAGTACTAAGCAGTGGGTTCTCTCACCAGCAGCAGTCTCAGGGTTTGTGCTCTCACTCCTTGTCTGCAATCTTCTACTGGGGAAAACAATGGATCAAGTACTTGCAAATTCAAGGACAGCCTTGTAAACCACTCACTGATTCTGGTGGCACCTCCTTTGGTTTTGGTAATTAAATATTCATGGTAAATAGGCCCAATGGCCTGTGATGGGATATTAGATGGGGTGGGATCCGAGTTACCTGGGAAAGAATTTTCTGAAGTATCTGGCTGATGAATCTTGCCCATATGCTCAGGGTTTAGCTGATGGCCATATTTGGGGTCAGGAAGGAATTTTCCTCCAGGACAGAATGGAAGAGGCCCTGGAGGTTTTTCGCCTTCCTCTGTAGCATGGGGCACGGGTCACTTGCTGGAGGATTCTCTGCTCCTTGAAGTCTTTAAACTACAATTTGAGGACTTCAGTAGCACAGATATAGGTGTGAGGTTTTTTGCAGGAGTGGTGGGTGAAATTCTGTGGCCTGCGTTGTGCAGGAGGTCAGACTAGATGATCATAATGGTCCCCTCTGACCTAAATATCTATGAAGCACAGCTGGTTTTGAAGCCACCTATGAAATGTCATTGCAATCACTGCAAAGGATTTGGAGTATAGCTGAAAAAATTACAAGTTACTGAATTTGGGGTCATGGTATAAAAATGGTTAAAAACCCCTGGTATAAGTGAGAGATGTGCCCGCAGCACTTCCTCAAACTCCAGGTAACTGAATACCTTCATCTATTACACTTACACGAGTGCAGGTTTGGATGAATGCTCCATGGAGAGAGAGTTGATGTTACACCTCCTTACAATCCAATTTTCACCTGCTCACATAACCAGCACTTGGTAGCTTGTTGGCAATGTCATTTGTGTGAGGGTGAACAAGGTAAAAATTCACAGGGGGGCTTGCATCCTTCTTCCTTTAAGGTGTATTTCCCTGCCCCCAGGGAGGAGGTTTGTTTTTCTTGAGTTATGTTTTGTATGCTTTTGTACATCAGTGGTTAACACCTTCACACCCTATTTGAGAGGAGTTTAAATGTGTGAAACAAAGTACATATGAAACTAAAGAAGTGAAAAGCAAAAAAGGAGCAACTTGTTTTAATGGATGTTGCATTGATGGGATTTAATGACTAACTCAGCTTACAGTTGTTGGCTGCTAAAGCTGCCACACAGTTAAAAATTGCATTAAAGTTAATGTTTAAAATCAAATTTACACAAGTTAAGAGGGAAGGTACTGTACATCTGGGGTCGGGCTTGGGTTATGGGGAATTGCAAGTATTGGTTACAAGGTTCATGAGGTACATAGGTATCACATAACCAGCATAGATCCAGATTGGGGTGTGGGAGTTTTTAAAGCATCACTGTGTAAGTGGGCCCGGGTACGCCATCCATGGACTGTATTAAGAGTCCAAGTTAGTACTGGTGTAGATACTAACCTACGACCAGGAAGTGGATCTGGACCTCGTAGCCCTTATTATTGCAGTAACACCCATGATTCAGAGATTTTAAGGCCAGAAGAGACCACTGGATCATCTAGTTCTAGTCTGATCTCCTGCATAACACACACACACCAGGAAAACAGAAAGGAATTTAAAAAAAAAATTATGAATTCCTATTTCCCATTTTCAAAAGTGACTTAGGCACTTAGAGGCCTCAGTGAAAGTCAGTGGGACTCAAGTGCCTAATTCACTTTTGAAAATGGAATTTAGGTGCTTTTGAACACTTTACTCATGGTCCCTACACCCAAAAGCTTACAGCCTAACATGACAAAACAAAAAAACAGAAGAGCGATCAGACACACAGGCAAAGGGTTAAATTGTGCTTTTGTCTGCATCAGGCCAAGACTAGCTCTGGAAGGAATCGTGCCTTAAAGACACCCCTCTTGAAGCACAATTAGCTCCCTGTATCCTCCATGCTCCAGGGAACAATTGTTTGATGCTGGTCTGGCTGCAATCAGAGACTTACCTAATTTTTTTAAAAAAGCTAATATAGACACACAAATGTGTGTTTCTTTTTTGAAAACTAGCCTGTGAATAAGGTTACATACATTCTTAC